GTTTGCTACTAGTGTTCATTTATTTTGGTCATTGAATCAACCAAGATAATAATGAATACCATGCACGCCAAGACTGTTCCACAGTAGTTGATCCTGGAGTTATAGTTGACCTTTTTAATTTTACAAATAAGATATTTTAGTTTAGAGAAAGTCGATACAAGTCTGTAGCCACCAGAAAATAAAGTCACCAACTGCCTAAAAACAAAGATGACTGCCATCACCTACTGAACATACTTGACAGACATCTGAATGTCATTGACAACCTAATCAAATACATTTAGCACCATATTGGAGAAATCATAATATTGGAAAGACCTAGGAATGGCACAAATTTAAACAACTGATCAGCTATAAGGAAAAACTTGAATCTCATTAAAATAACATCACAAACATGAGCTCACATAAATGGGTACAAATACAAAATCCATTTACTCAGGTACAAATCCTTCTGCAACACAACACAAATACCAATAAAAATGTAAACCTTAACATACAGAACTTAATACAGATGGTTGCAAAATTATGTAATAAAATATAATCCAGCCCAAGCAATAGGCAGTACAATTTCATGGCTTAATGAAGCCCAAGAGTAATGAAGTGAATGGTTTCGTAAGTAACCTCCAAAACAAAATTCACATGGTGGGAAATTTTCCAATTCCAGTCCAAAAGAATAATTTAGGGTATCTTACATCAACTTTTTAACTGGACAATTGTTTATGACATCCCCCAAAAGAAGATGGAATATGCTATGTTATGTTATATTAGGATGTGTAACCTTCAAAGGTAATTTTTGTACTTTCCGGTTATATATATATTTAGATGTAGCTGTATAACCCTACCACACTACTCCTTTCACATAATGTTTTTCTCTTCCTCTTATTCTTCTTCTCTCTTCTGCTTATCCATGCGGTTATGCCCTCTTTGAATAGGAATCCATTTTCTAAAAGATCATGGCTTTCGTGGTTTGGTGAGTCACTGAGATCCTTTCGATGACCTATGTTGTGTTGAAGGAATATCTATATAACCCAACTGATTGCATAAAGCCTGTGGTAGCAACAAAATTGGGGAAAATATAAAGAAAAGACAGTTTTGAAAAGCTTGTTTGTTGTAAGGCTATCGAATCAGAGAATTCTTTCTTTCAGTTTTGCTCACCCTACTTCTGAGGATAGATAGTTTAGGGAAAGCAAATGGTATGATGAGATCTGTCTTTTGACTTGGTCGAGGACACCATTACCATGTTGCTCGCAAGATACAAATGTTGTCGCAAAACGAACCTGAGGGATTGATTGGATAACCTGGGTTGGCAAATGTGCGGAACCCGAATAGCTTCAGCCTTCGCTTTGTGCAAACCCACACACGAGACCTAGGAACTCACAAAGGGCACTGATGTGTTGCTTCCTGCCTGATCTTTGTCCCTCAACCTTCGAGTCACTTGTGTCCTTCTGGAACGACAAGTAGAAAAGGGCGGCCTTAGAGGAAATGCCCACCAAACAATATCGAGATTTTTCCGCTGGGTTTCAAACCTCAGTTTCACCAAGAACAAAGAAGTTATTTGATCAATAGCAACTTGAAACTCCAATTCGATTCACCCCGGGGGGTCCACTTAGTAAGGATTTTAACTAAATAAACTCACAAGTAGGACTGTCAAAATTCAACACGACACAATTAACCGACACAAATTAAGCGGGTTTGGGTGAGATCTTAACGGGTTTGAGTGATAAACGGGTTGACACGCCAAACACGTTTAATAAACGAGTCGTGTTTGGGTGAAACCTGTCAAACCGTTTATCACACGTTTATCCGGTTAAATAAAATTAATATAATAATAAATTAATAATTATTTTGAAAAAATTAACAAGAAAAAAGAAGTAAAGAAATCAATACAAAAAAAAAATAGTAGTTCAAAGACAGAGGAGGACAGATTGAGAGCACTTCAAAGACAAAGGCAAACCAATGCCTTTTGTTTTTGTCCCACATTGAAAATGAGAGGAGGGGGGAGGGTTGAGTTGCCTATAAAAAGGCAATGACCTCTTGTCTTTTTTTTTTAAGCCTTCAAGTCTGATTTTTTATGAGATTTGGCTAAAAATTCTTCTTTTTTTAGGTAAGTACAATTAGAAGTAAAAAAAAATAGAATATTAAAATTTGTTGATATAATTAATTTAAAATAATATGGGTTAAACGAGTCGTGTCGTGTTACCCGTTTATTAAACGGGTCGTATTCGTGTTTAAATTTTTCACCCGTTTATTAAACGTGTCGTGTACGGATTTACATATTTTTTACCTGTCATCCGTTTAACCCGACACGTAACCGTTTAACCCGACACGTTTGACACCCCTACTCACAAGCCAGGGCAGGCTGCTATGAGTTTATTTAGCTAAAGGGGGAAGGATTAGAGCGAAACGATTTTGGAGGCATGTTTTGAGCTCATTTTAGCAACAAAGTCTGAATACTAGACATGACCTCTAAATAACAAGGGGTCAAGGTCCGCCAGTGAGACGATGGGGAATAAGTTTCATTATCAACAGGGTAGCAACCCGAATCACCAGCTAAGACCCCTAAATGACCCCTTCCCTGCCCTTATCGAGAAATAGAACTGACTAATTCTAAGTTAAAGAGTTGAAAAACTCAACAACACTATTCTTGAATAACTTGGAGTCGAGCCTTCTTTTTGCACTATTACAGATATGAAAATAATGAAAAAAATTGGATTCAATTGTCAACTGTCCCTATCGAAATAGGATTGACTACAGATTTGAGCCATAACACATGGTTTCATAAAGAACAATGCTATTAAGCCTTAATTTACTGATATAATTTACTGACCTAATTCATTGTGACCTTTTAGCTTCACTGTAGACCCCATCAAACATTGAAACTTGATATTGATCTAATAATTCTTATGAAGCCACATCATTATATCAGTAAATTAGGTTAAATTTTTAAATCCAAATAGCATTACTCTTTCATAAAATCGCACGATTTTTCTAAACCCTAATTACTTCATAATCTAACCCGGTATTAGTGCATCGATCTAAATCTAAAGATTGAAAATCATCAGAGATCATCGAAAATACTTAACAAGAATCGTTGATAGCCCGCATAATGCGATTTATGGGTTTCTTGAAATGTTTTGAAGCCATTTGACTGGCCTTTCTACTTTTGGAATGCTTTTGGCCTTTTTTTGGTTTCAAGCTTCGACCTGGGAAATCTGAGCAATCTAAGGGCTATTTTTTGTTCGATCCTAGCATGTGAGGTGCAACTAGGGCTGTTATATAATGCTCATGCAGTTTGGTTGTGTTTGGATTGGATTTGTTAGGTTTTTTATTTTAGCTTTTTTTGATTTGTTGTCACTCGAATCTGCTCTGTTTTGCCACTGTCCTACTCCAACCACTACAATTTTACTCTGTAGCCACCGTTAAAGCTTTTGGGACTGTTTGAGGCATTATTCTAGTGACAGACCATTTTTTACAATTGTGTTTGGTGACCACAGTTGGAGACTAGTGTGCTCTTGGGTGTTGATTCTAGTGTGTGGATATGGCAGAAGGAAGTGTTGCTTCTACCACTGTTGGAGGAAGTATGGGAGGATATGGGTTGAGCCGTTTAGGTACTCTTGCAAATAATTCCTCTCTCCAAATTAATCTAGAGAAACTAGATGGACACAATTATTTGGTATGGTCACCAGCTTGTTTGTTATCAATCCAGGTCATCTCTTTGGATGGTTATTTGACTGGGAGATTAAGAAACCTACCAAGTCTGATTCTCCACTGAAGCAGGGACATCTGAAAATACTTTGGGGATGTCGTGGTTGCTTAATTCAATATAACCCTCAATCAATCATGGTTTTTTGTTGTTTGATACAACTCATAAGAATTAGTCAAAATATACTAAAATATCTTGAAACACCTCTAAACATTCCGCAACATTTCGCGAAAACACGCTGAAACTCCTCGAAATATGAAAATTTTTATTTTAATCACTAATTTGTTTTTACCGTTTTGAAATGAAATTTTGATCATTAGGCTGGATATAACCTGTCTAGCAGCTTCTAAAACACCACTTGAGGCAACTAGAACAAGAACTTGTTCTCTCACATTTTGAAGAATAGAAGCTGCCTTTACAGTACTTTTTTTCCAGCCATTTTCTTGCCTCTTCTCCTTGTTTTCTTCTGTCATTTCCAACATTCTTTGTGGGTTGTTGATATAACCTTGTTACTAACCTGTTTGAGCTAGTATACAAGGCTGCAGAGCTCCAACATCTCACACTAGACTTGCATCAGATGGTATCAGAGCAGGTTTGTCCATCTACCTGTTCATAAACAATGCCTAGAAGAAGAGGAAGTCCAACTGCAGTTCCAGCTAAAACTGAAACTATGGGTGCGATAGAACAACTTGTGAAAATTTAAGATGCTACCTTTTAAGTTAGCCCAACTTGAGGCCCCAACTCACAAGGACGATGCCTTTAACTCAGAAATTCTATAACCAAGGTAAACATAGGCAGTAGGTTGTAACGAGCGATAAAAGATGGAAAATGAACCTCAAAAGTGGAGATTCCTAAATCTTGGGGAAGTATTCAAGTTGAAGAGTTGGTTGACTGGTTTAAGTATAGTTGAAAGAATCCTAGATATCAGATAAATCCCAAATGACAAGAAAGTAAAACTGGTCAGTAGTCTGTTAAGGGAAAGAACTTCAGCTTGGTAGGAACATGAGGATATTGGGACAACGAAAAGGCAAGCCGAAAATGATTGGGAGAAGATGAAGAAGCAGCTTAGAGCAGAATTTCTTCCTTACAACTATGTCCAAGACATGTACCAACGACTTCACCGATTGTGACAATGAAAGAAGCATGTTGAGGAATATACCAAGGAACTCTACCAGCTTTTGGCTAGCAATGATAGCCCTGAAAGTAATGAGCAGCTGGATGTTATTTATGTTACCAACCTGCAACCTTTGACCTGCTATTCAAAATGTTGAGTCTTTGTAACATTTGGACAATTTATTAGGTCCTTGCAAAATCGGAGTAGTTTTGCGCTAGAAGAGAATGTGAGAGCAGGCAACACAGTGTTAAAAAACATCGGAGCGTGTGAGAGCAGGGAACAAACGAATCAAAGGTTAGATAAAGGACCAGATGGTGTTAAAAAAAATAAACAAGTGCGCACATTCAGAACTTCGGCAAGGAAAAATATTGCACCTGGGAACAAGTTTTTAATGAGGCTAGATCAGTATTACAACACTCTGAAAATGGTGCTGATTCTGGGTGTTACAAGTATGGTAAAGCTGGACAGACTTCTTCCGAATGTCAAGGCTTCAAATGGTCTCCTTGACTCAGGAAGACAAACTTAAATTGAGGGAGAACCTAAATTATGGAACTGATCTTGAAAAAGAACCAGTGAATGACGAAGGGCTTGGCGGTGAAATAGATAAGGAAAATATATCTCATAAGGGACAAGCATTTGCTGCTATCTAATTAGCAAGGCAAACAAGATTGGTGAAGAACTACTATTTTCCACATGGCCTGCACAATTGGAAGAAAAGTGTGCCAATTGATAACAGATAAGGGAGATGTGAAAATGTAACCTCTCCAGAACCGTAGAAAAATTGAAGCCGCCTGCTGAAGCACTCCCAAACCCATACAAGCAAACTTGTTTTAAAAAAGGTAAGGTGACTGTTTTTCAAGGATGTAGAGTTTCTTTTTGGAATAAACATCATGGTATTATTATGTTCAAAGTTGTTATGGATGCATGCCATATACAATGAAAAAGAACATAACAGTATGATAGAGATACCATTCAGCAAGGGAGAGAGAATGTCTATTTGTTTTGGAAGGATAGGTGAAGATAAAATTGGTCCAATGGGAGAAAAACTTGAGTGGAATCTTAATTCTAAGTGGTAACCAATTTCTTTAAATGGAAGTGTTTATTCACAAGTATAGACACTGTGTGTTACTTTATCCTTTGGTGGAGTAATTCCCAGTAGTTTAGTACCACAAGTTGTAGAATATTTAACGAGAAAATTTGTCGATGTGTTTCCAGATGAGATTCCACCCAGGTTGCTACCATTAAGAGACATCCAAAATTGCATTGACTTGATTCTAGGCTCCAGTTTACCCAAAAAGGTAGCATACAAGATGAGTCCGACGGAGTATGAAGAGTTCAACTGTCAGGTACATGAGCTATTGTAAAAGGGACATGTGAGGGAGAGCCATAGCACATGCCTCTTACTTGCATTACTTACACCAAAGAAGGATGGTTTATGGTGCATGTGTGTGGATAGTAGAGTTATAAACAAAATCAATGTGATAGAGATGTTTCAGATAGGCAGCGTGGCAACACACTGCTACTGGTAACTTTTGTCACCGACTAGGAAAGAGGATTTTCATTATGATCGACATTCAAACTCTATCATGAAGGGCAAAACAGTGCTTAGACCGACAAGGAGGAAGACTTGTGCCAACCATGATATCATTACCACCTTACAATATCCCGCCGAGATGACATGATGGATATGTTAACTGGATCAAAGTTCATTTTAAAGATTGATTTGAAGAGTAGCTATCCTCGAATACATATTCGTCAATAGAAGGAGAAGAAGACTGCTTTTAAGATGGAAAAGGGTCTTTATGAATGGTTGTTTATGGTAATTTGGTCTATCCAACAAGCCTAGCCTAGCACATTTATAGGCCTATGGAAGAACATTTGTTGTCGACGGCCTTGGTGTTTTATGCAAAATGTTGCATGCAAACCTTAAGAAGAGCAAACCCTCTACAATTCATTTAGTGCGAAGTTTCTAAGGATCAAAAATATTTGATCACAGATTCATTCAAAATTTTAGCACGATATTACTTTGATGATAGATTCTATGAAACGACGGATTTTTGTCGACATGTGGTGCAGAGAATAGCTTGGAGCTCATTAAGAAGAAATCATTAAGGGTCCTATTCTTGTTTACCTGATTTTTACAAGACTTTTGAAGCAGACTTCCACAAGTCAGGGTCGCATTACCACCCGTCGACTCAAAACATACTAATACACATCAAACCAAACCAAACCAAACTAAACCAAGGCTTATGTTTCATTCATTTGGGGTCAGCTACATGAGTCGGTCTTCGTCATTCATTTCGGTCATGCATTATACGCTTATTTAAATTAAATATTTTTATATTTTTTCTTATTATTTCATTCAATATTAATTTAGGTGTACACCTAATTTTAGTGCTATTAAGATAAATTCTATCACTTTTTCTAACTGATGCCTCTATCGACGTCCATTGAACATGAACAACTCATCTTAATCTATTCCCTTTTAACTTATCCTCAACTAAAGCTATTTTTACAATTTCTCTAATATAGTCATTTGGTGTTCTATCTTTTCTAATTTTTTCACAAATTCATCTTAATATTCTCATTTCTGCTATACTCATTTTGCCACTATATTATTTTCTAGTTACCCAACATTCCATCATATACAACATTGTTGTCTTTTTAGCTGCTCGGTAACACTTGCCTTTCAATTTTATTGGTGTCCTGCTATCACATAATATGGTAGAAGATTTCTTCCATTTAGCATTCATTTTTACTACTACTTATTTTAAACCCTTTTTAGTCGAGTGTCTCTCTCCAAATTTTTAAATTATTGCCAAATTGGAATGAAAGTAGAAATAAAAAATCAAAAGTGGAAACTCACAAAAAAAAAAAAACAATATTAAGGTATTGAATTCCTTATTTAAAATTCTATGGGTTGAATATGCAAAATCAAAAAATCACATCTAAACAAATAATAATTTTTAGTTGCTCCATGGTAGAACTTGAGAAATTAGATTCATAACAAAACAACAAAACATTTTACTAAACTCATTCCGCCAACTAAAAGAAAAGTGCTTGTGCACGATATGTAAACAAAATCGCATCTAAATGCCTATAAAACAACAAAACATTTACCTAAACTCATTCAACCAACTCAAAGAAAAGTGCTTGTGAACGATATGTGCAAAATAACGCGTTAACCGTAATAAAAAAATAACATCTAAATAACTACAAATCAACAAAACATTTTACTAAAAGTGATCAATTAGCAATAAAAATTGTAAATCCAAACAAAAAAAAAACATACAGCATTAACTATCCAATAGAGCGCATTAAAATTAGGCATAATTGCTTGAAAAATTAGATAATTTCCAACAAAAATTTCACTCCAAATTACAATAATTTTGCATCAAATCGCACAATTAATAACCCAAAAAGTGACAAACTGTGTGCGGGTGTTTGCCAACCAGTGTGTGTGTGAAGTAGTGTGCATGTGTGTGGGTGTGTGCGGAGCAGTATATCTATGTGGGTGATGAGTGGTGAAGTGGGTTTTCCTTTTCAAAATCATACTATATGATTTGCAAATTGTTAAATGTCCAACCGTTGAACCTTCTGTAAACTGAATGGTTACCTCATACATATTCTTTCCATTTTTCTGAACAAAACCTATGTGTCGGTGTTTGTGAAGTAGTGTGCGAATATGTGTGGGTGCATTTTTTTTAGCAAGCTTTGAAACTCTTCTTAACAAAACCTGTGTGGGTGTATGTGTGTGAATATATGCGTGTTTGGGGAGGGGGGGTGACGATCTCTATGCGTGTGAGTTACAAGGGCAAATGTAAGACAGATGGGATGGGTAGGGTGGGAGCAGCTTGGGACAAAAAGAGGGAGGTAGAAGAGAGAAAGAGGGAGTACCTGGCTGCTCCACCGACTTGCTGGGTTGTCTGAAGCAGAGATGAGGGAGGGAGGAAGGAACAGAAAGAATAATAGATATGAGAGAAGGCAGACCGAGGGAAAACAAAAAGAGGAAATAAGATCTGCAATGGAATAAGCAAAAGAAAATACCGAAAATAGAGGAAGGCGGTAATTGCAAAGAGAATGTGTGTGTGTGTGTGTGTGTGTGAATTTTCTTAACTTCTGAAGAATTAACCCACCAAAAGCTAGCCATCAATTGATTTATTTTTGAACAAACTCCGATGAAACTTAAAACAAGACATAGCATATATAGAAATAGTGTGAGTAGTTTAATAAGTAAGATTTATTAACTTTATCAAAAATACAATAAATATGATTTTAACACATTATTTGAGATATAATATTTGATAAATAAATTTGAAAAATACAATTTTACCCATATGGGTTTTCCTTTTAGAATCTCTAATGTGATTAGTGGGATTCGATATTCAAATTTGGTAGCAAAGTGAAGATGATGAGTCTTTGGTTTAATGGTACTCCTTATCTTGTAAAAATTTTGTCTTCTTAAGGTCAATGGATCAAGTCTCTCTCCCCTTCCCCTTCCCCTTCCCCTTCCCCTTAAAAAAGAAAAAAAATAATTGTAAAATCCGAAAAAATTTAAAAAAATTTGTGAAGGGTAAAATGGTAATTGGTCATTACGGTAGGGGTTGAAAATTCAATTTTTTTTAAAATTCAGATGACAAAACCGATCTCACCATTGGATTCTTCTTGCAAAATCTAGTTACCTAATTAAATTTCATCAAATTTTGAGACAGTTAGATTATTCGAGTTTTATGATGCGATCAGGTGTCGCAGGACTAAAATATAAACAATTGGGTTTTAATTGAGAAACATGAAAAGTAATTTAAAATTAGTTCAAATAAAATATATTGAACCCAACACAAAATGAGATTTAATTAATTCGAAATAAAATCGGATTAGAAAAGGACGAGACATGTGGCTCAATGAGAGTCAAGTATTGAAGAGTATAAAAAAGGGGAAAAGCAGAGTTTTCCCCCATTTGTATTGCTGGGATTTCTGAAAATAAAGAGAGAAAAAAAAACTCAAGATCTCCAAGTTTTCTTATTCGATCTAGGGTGATCCGTCCTTCAAATTACTTCGAACCAAGAACAAAAGTTGCTCTACATGACAAGAGCTACAAATACATACTAAAGATTACAGATTTTGCCAAAGTCTCAAGATCGTATTTTTGGGATTAAGGTTTTGAACCTTAATCGCGGGTTTCACCTACATGGTATTATGCTTCAAGAGGTAGGGTTCCTTTTCTAACCAGGTTTATTCTCAATCAAGGGTTGTATATGGAATAGATAGCATGATTAGAAATGAAAATTTTCTTATTTAATATACTCTTAGTGTAACTAGAGTATGAAAAATAGTGAAATAATATATAGAACTAATTTTGCATGATTGAGTTTTGTGGAAATTATTTCTTCGCAATTTCTTGAGTTATGTGATGAAGGAGGCATGCTATGTGTTTACTTAATTTGTGTCTTCAATGTGTTTGACAAAATGATTTGAATGATTAAGTATGTTATTTGGATAAAAATTATATAATATACTTTGTTGATGTTGTAGATGGTGATTATATGCTCATGATATAATTGACAATTGATGAAATTGAAAAATGTTGATAGACATTAAAATTTTCATAATGTGCTCATGACATATCGAACACGATATATAAATTGCAATTACACATTGCATTCGCATAATGCACAGTTGACATCGCATTCATAGGCATTTGACTGAGTGCGGGTGTGTGTGCGTGCATGATTTTGATTAAACACCATTCTTGGTGGATGATACGTAGTCTCGAGAAAGTTGGACTTAGGTTCAACAGAATCGCACAGGTTGCATTTTAAAAAAACTAAGGGTCGGGTATAGCAAGAATGGATAAATCCTCCCTCGGGTGCAAGGCTCGATTACTTAGTTCACACACTTACTTTGTGGTGAAATTCTGAAAAAGTGTGTACGGGTACGTGGAGCCTAGGGTGAGATGTTCTCAAAATGTCGTGTAGGTTGGTAATCCTTTGGTGGAATGTCCATAAAATACCCACCCAAGAAAGACCCAAGATTTTACAAAATAGTCATTGAATGTTCAACATCAATGACAGGGGGTTTGGAATACCCGGGTGCATACGCATGGCATTGCGTGTGTTATGAAGCTAGTAGAGGGCTCGGGGTTACATTGCATGTGTGAGTATCATCTCATAACATAGCATGACATTGTAGAATCCATTTTATGAGTTGCATATTTTTGAGTGGAAGTTTGATTGATTGTTGAATTGCATGTGAACATTTCATATACATTTGGGTTAGGGAGTAGCATTCAAGAGATATTTTATTGAGCTTGACTCACCCTTTATGAGAACAACATTTCAAGCGCAGGACAAATACCGGTGGACAACCCACACTTAGACCCTTGTTCATAAAGAAGCCGACATGTGGCTTTTAAATTACATTTTGTAAATGAATTGTATAATTTGTTTTGAACTTGTAAAATTGTGTGTAATAAACTCGTATGGACTATAATTTGTGTTAATGAATGAATAAATAAATGTGAAATGAGTTTGGATGGCCAAGGGTTGAAGATTGAAAAGATTTGAGAAAAATCTGGGCCCAGGTACCAATATCTAAGTGATTAACTATTGGTACCACGTTGTTGAATGGCCCAGGTATCGGTACCAAGACTTACGGGTAGTAGTACCTCTTCCAAAATTTTCAAAAATTTTAAATATAACTTTGTCAAGCCTTTATATCTTGAGCCTTCTTGTTGGGATGAAGTAATTGGTCAAACATTAAGTCCTGGTTGATAGGGATGGACCTTGAAGTGGTCAAGTGGATGAAATGTGCACAAATTATGTGTTTGGGAGTGCTCCAGTACAAGGGAGGCTTTGCCCAAACTCTGTATGGATTCAAATCTCGGTAAAGGGGACATGATGATGTGGTATTGGGTTATGTGACATTCATAGGTCCTTTCGCAAGTTGATAAAAAACAATAAAATACATGTCCAGCTATCTTTTCCAAAATTTGGTCTAAGAAAGGTAAAGAAAAATGGTCTTTTCTAGTAAGAGAATTTAATTTTCGATAGTCAATACACATACGCCAACTAGTGACTATACTAGCATCTAATAGTTTAAGTACTTCATCCCGAACAATTTCCTTGAGATACGAATTTAATCTATGTCGCGGTTGTCTAGAGGGTTTAGAGTCTTCTTCCAAGTATATACAATGAGTACAAAGAAGAGGACTTATTCCCTTAATATCGGCTACTATCTAACCAATTATACTTTGATATTTTTTATGACTCTTATCAATTGTCTTTCCTGAAAATTCTTACAAATTTGAAGATATTACCACTCGATAAGTTTCATCCTCTCCTAAGAAGACATATTTCAAATCAGTTGGAAGAGGCTTCAACTCTGGATTGGGAGTCATGACATTAGACTCAACAAACATTGTTCCATTTGGTAATAACTCTTCAAATTTTAGAACCCATGTTCCAACGATGGACATATCTATAATAGACTCGACATTATTTACAAAATCTAACAATGCATGTGACTCCTTTTTATTACAAGCACTTTCAAATAAATTCTGAGTTAATGACCCTATGCAATTTACTTCTTACAATTCTTATTCCTCACTAGGTTGCTTAGCAATGTCAAATACATTCAATTCCAATGTCATGTTTCCAAATGAAAGTTTTATGATTTCATTCCTACAATTAATTAATGCATTTGATGTTTCTAGGAATGGACGTCCCAAAATGACAAGAATTTGTGTAGAGACATGCAAAACTGGCTGAATATCCAATATATAAAATCCATTGAAAAATAAAACTTATCAACTTGAACAAGTACATCCTCATCAACTACTTGTGGAATTTTTAAAGATTAGTCAAACAACCATAATGCGACATTTGTGGGTTTCAACTCTCCCAATCCTAACTGCTCATAGATTTTATATATAAATAAATTGACACTGACTCCAACATCAAGCAAAGCTTGGTCAATTATGATGTTTCTAATTATGCATAAAACCATAGGACTCCCAGGATATTTGTACTTAAGAAAGGCCTTGTGTTGAATGATAACACTAGTCTGTTATGTCAAAAATGCTCTTTTTTGTACATTAATCCTTCTTTTCACTGTGCAAAGGTATTTCAAAAACTTGGCATATGATGGGACTTGCTTGATTGCATCCAATAGAGGGATGCTAATCTTTACTTGCTTAAACAACCCAAAGATTTCAGAATAATTATTCAATGGTTAAGGTTTCTCGACTTGTTGAAGAAAAGGTAAAGGAACATGATTTGATTTGTCTTTTTCATTAGGCAACTCTATTTTCTTTTGAACTATTGGGTCAGACTTAATTGGTTTATTAACAGGGATTAACTCAGCTACTAGCTCAAGAGTTTTGGCTTTGATGATTTGTTAATCACTTTACCACTCCTTAGTGTGGTAATTACTTGGACTTAGCTCGGAGAAGGTTCAGAGGACACAACATTAACCTAGTTTTGACCTTATGGAGGCTTAGGTTGAGATGAGAATTTTTCCTTTTCTGTTGTGCTCAGAGATTGGATTAACTTGGCTAGATGACTCTTAATATCCTCAATGTTTTGTGACGCTTGAGCTTTGAAATCATTGAATGCATGCGTAGACTATATATTAAAGTTCATTTGACTTTGAATAAAACTATTTATGGAATCTTCCAAATTTCTTCTATATGGGAGTTGGTAAGGTTGATATGACTGCTGAGTTTGAGGTTGTGGTGGGGTGGACTTGGTTGCTGAGTCACTGGCTGTGTGTTTCTCCAATTGAAATTCGGGTGATTCCACCACCTTAATTGTAAGTCTCAGAATATGAATTGGAATAAGGCTTCTTAAAGTCGGAAATAACATTAGATTGTTCTATCAAAACTTTCTTAAATGCTGGGATGGTGGAATACTCCCCTGTAGGATGTCATAACAAAGCACAAATTCCACATAATTGGTCAGTAGGAAAGACAATAGAAACTTCATTGACCTTTTTTCATCTCTAGAGCATCTAGTTTTTGAGACAAAGTAGTCATGTTGGCCCTTAGATCATCATGCTCTTTTAACACATATTTCCCTCCTTTGGATGTGAATGACTTAGTTTCAACAATATTTAGTGAGGCTAAGTTCAACATTATTTAGTGGCCCTAAGAGGATTCTTTCTCATGAATCCTCTTAGGCCCATCATTTCTACGAACTAATGAAATATAGAGGGAAGGGCATTATAAAAGAACTTAACTAGGGTCCAACTATCAAATGCATGATGTAAGCAAGCTTGGAGAAGATCCTTAAATCTCTCCCAACGTTGATAAAAAGTGTCTCCCTCTTTCACTCAAAAATTTATGATTTGACGTCTCAATGCATTGGTGTGATGTATAGGAAAAAATTTCTTGAAAAATTCAATTTGTAAAACTTGCCAACTTGGAATGGATTGAGCTTTCAAAGAATTTAGTCATTATTTAGCTTTATCCTTCAAAGAAAAAGGAAAAAGTATCAACTAGGTCATTTCAGAATTATCTTGTAATGTATCACATGCTTCATCGAATTCTTTCATATGCAAATCGATTTACACCATCAAGATCTTTAACCCCAAGTTGTGAGATTGAATAGAATCTCTTGTGGTAGCCTGTGCATTTAGGAATCTAGGTTAGTGGTGGAAGCTCTCAATGTAGAATGAGTGGTTTCTCTTGTAGAAATCTCACAAGAGACTTAATCGAGTTTTGGAAAAGGCTCTCCCTATTTATAAGTTCGTTATAAGGGTAGTCTTAGTAAATAATTCATGAGCAACTGCTCGATCGGTGGGAGAGCAGTAATAAGTAGTTGACACTAGAATGAAAATCACATTTCCTTCTTGTCTAGGAACAGTGCCGCTCGAGTGACCATGAAAGACCACTCGAGCTAGGTCTACGTTGTTCCCCCAAGGCCTTTTTCGTCTAATTCCCTAAGTTATTAAGAGACTGTTTTAGCCAAGACTAGTGAATATAGATCAGTCCCTATTAGTTTTTGAAGCAAAACTAGTCCACTTGAGCACTAAAGGGTGTTGCTCAAATGAGGTCCGATAATGGCTCAATTTATATTTTCAAAACACAAAATTATTTAGGAAAAAAAATTTCTTTTGAAATCACCTATGAGTCATACACGGATTGCTTTCAATTCCATTTTCATCATAATCATCCAAAGTTAAAAATAACTGAGGGTTCATCTTAGGTGTGTAGGTCATTAAATTTGTCCTAATCATAAAAATGCATACCAAGGTTGAATGATGTTGCTTTAACATTTGATCTCCTCCCTTCAATAACTCTTTCAAATCTTCAACTTGATAGCACCATAATCATGGAAAAGGTTGAGAATTATAATAGACTCTAAGAAATTAGTCAATTACAAAATATGATCTAACAGACAAATACTTGTAATAGTATGTAGACAAGATTAGAATTGAAGAGATGCAAAAAGGGATAATCAAACAAAGAAGAAATGGAAAAGGTGCAAAAATGACAGAGGAAGTAACGTTATCCGAAAGACTGATGATACATCTGAAATGTCAAATTGCAACAAGGGCATGTGGAAGCCTATCCGGCATACCGGATGGCATTTCCGGACTAGTGGATGTGCATGCAAGTGGCAAAGGAAACTTGGTATCTGAAGGGAATTCAAAAGTCCGATTATGTCATCCGAAAACTTATCCAACATATTGGATGACACATCCAGACTGTCGAATGTGTTGGCAAACAAGGCAGACGCATGCCTCATCTAGAAGCCTAACTGGCATTCCATATATTGATCCAGAAAAACTCAAAAACCTTCTATAAATTGAAGGCAATTTTAGAGTATTAAACAAAGCATGAAATATAGTAGCAGGGGACTCATCTGATCGACCGTATGTGCATTTGGCATGCCAGTTGTATCTATTAGACAAGTAACAATCACATCCAGATTCTTATCCGAACTGCTAGATGGTCTTCTAGATGTTGTCGAAATTTGAATTCTTCTATCTATTGGCCCACTTATTAGACTCCAACTATAAATAGAAGGGTAAGGACTTCAAGAGGTCTTCTTCCAAACATTCAAGAGTTGAACTAAGCATTAAGAAAAAAATTACATCTTGAGTTTAAAAGATCTATTGTGAATATCTTAAACTTTCTCTATTGTATACATTGAGTGTTGAGGGATTATTATATTGTGAACACATCTTGAAAAAGTGACAGTGAGCTATGTAATCTTCTTGAGAGTGTGTTGTAGAGAGAAATTCTATGAAGGTTTTGATTCTCACCCATTGAAGAGACTTAAGCTAGTAAAGGGAAACTCCAAAGGGATGAAGAAGAGAGGACATAGGCCAAATGTGTTGGGGGGTAAATCTCTATAAATCGTGTTGGGGGTTGAACCCTTATACATCACATATATATTGTTCATTCATTTGCATATAAGCAAAGTAATTTTACAAATAATGAAACTGACTTTCAAGGAAGTCTTATTAGAGAAAACCTAATTCACCCCCTCCCCTTAGGTTCCATTGGGCCAACACCATGGTTGTTTGGATGTCAACTTTAATTGGTTTCCCCAAAACTTTTGCAATTGGACCTAAATTACCCCTAGAGTACTATGATGCCCTTGACGGAATGAATTTCAGTTCCCAATTCCTAATAGTGAGGTATTGATTCATGATAGGCCAAGAACCTCTACTAAAGACTTTGAAACAATCCTCCTTCACTTAAAAATTGAAAAGGAATAAGCATTGTCCAGGTCAATTGCTTCAAAGTCTCCTTGTAGACCCAAATGTTTCTCATGCTCATACACAACATTTTGTAGCCTATATTCTCAGTATTAGTCCATCCTTCCATCTATTTTTGATTCTTTGTAGAGTTCTGCTTGAAAGGTTGACCTTTTGGCATGTCTCTTAAGTTGTGTCGATGGTCATGAATTCCTTCTTATCTATATTTGTATCTTGCTGAGATGTTGATAAATCCTCTTCTGAGGAGTCCTTGTAAATTTTAGCATCAAAATGGACAACGTTATCTTCATCTATGAGAGCTGCTTTGTAGTTTCTTAGTTTTGGATCTTGTGTTTTAAACTGGGTTATCTAGCATTTCCTTTTCTTGTGATTTTGGGGTTGAGTGGGAGGTTGGTTCCACCAACATCTAATATCCTCTTCTAGGTGGTGTGATATTATTTCATTTTCTTTGTGCTTCGCTTGAGGTAGTCCTCCTCCTCCATCTCTCTTGTTCGAAGTTATGGGTTCATGGAATCAATTTCCATCATTTATTGTTGCAATGAAGGTGGATTGTAATGGTAGTTGAGAAAATTTAAGACTCCACTCTTCTCCTCCCTCTTGTCGCCAAATTTAGAGAGAGAAACTCATAGAGAAGATAAAGTGTTTATAATCCACTAATTTCATATTGCGCTCATGTTGCAATACATATTTTATGTTTATTTTGAAGCTTGATCTTTGAATATGTGGACCATGGAATTATGTTGAAATTTCTATCAAGATTTTATGAAATTTGTCAATTACAATTAATTTCTTAACAATTGTTAACATAATACAAATGATTAATCTCAAATTGAACATTGAAAGATTGTTTGAATCTCAATTTATACCTTCAAAGATCAAAAATCTTAATTTGCACCCTCAAAGATAGAAATATGTATCAACGCACATCTCAAATTATCAACCATCAGTTTGTTGTTTAAAATTAAATGGATAAATTACACATAGACCCCCTCATACTTGTCACTTAATCACATAAACCCCCCACATTTGAAATATTACACCTACATCTTTAGAATCCAAATGACTAAAAAAGTTTTCCCAATTGGGCATCCAAATAATTCTGTTCAAGTGATATATTACATTCAATATAAAGAACATTATATAAATACCTACATTATATTGGGCATTTAAATGGTAAGCTTGATTTTGAACCTTAGAGTATAATGAACCTATAAAATAAATGATAGTATGAAAATTATAATTTTTTATTAGGATGAAATCATATTTTTTTAACGGTTATATTAACAGATATCAAAGACAATGGGTTATGTGTTACACGTGCACAAATGTCAAGAGTTGTAAGAGTAATGTTCTAAATGTAAAAATGTCTAAATGATTAAGTGACAAGCATTAGATGATCTAGGTGTAATTTATCCATTTAAGTTTAGATAACAAACTAACAGCAATTAGTTTAAGGTGCGCATTGGTACAAAGTTTTATCTTTAATGGTGCAAATTGAGATTTTTTTATCTTTGATGATGTAAATTAAGATTCGAACAATCTTTTATAGTGCAATTTATGATTAACCTTAATATAAATTAAAAAAAATAGTGTACTTGACACATTCAATTAAAAAAATGTCATCGTAGTCAAACCCCTCTTTTGATCGTAGTCAAATCCCTCTATTGAGCACCCTAAATTTTAAGCACGGAAAGCAACACAAGCTCCAAAATGCTACACTTACCAACAATCTTACTCAGTTCAGAAAGGAAATAAAACAACAATCTTACTAAGATAGTGTTTGGTAACCTATTGTTTTTGTTTTTTTTTTGTTTTTGTTTTTGTTTTCATTTTATGACAAAAAAAAATAAAAATGTGTTTGGGGAATGTTTTCGTTTTTTTTACAACTCTGTTTTGAAAACAATGACAAAATATGAACATCTAAAATGATGTTTTTGAAAACGTCAAAAAACCCAAACATGTTGCAACTCTCATTCCCCATTTAATGAGGTCTGGACTTCGAATATTCTCCACAACAAAAATGCATATTTTTTTCCTTATCATATAAAATGCATCTAAAATGCATTTATCTCATTTGCTCATATCTCTCCAACTCCACAAATGTCTCCAACTCCGGCGAACAAGTGCCTCCAGCTCCAGCGAACAAGTGCCTCCAGCTTAAGCGACATCTCCATCTCTGGCGAAGCGGTAAGTTCCCTTTTTTTTGCAAATTTTTTTATTTATTTTTAGATCTATAATGATGTTGTTCAGATCTATGACTTATTTTGTAGATCCATATTTTATTTTTAAAGATCTATACTCTATTATTTTAGATCTAGGGTTTATTTTTGTAGATCTAACTTTCCATTAGATATAGGGTTTACAAAATATTGTTTCCTCAGTTTTGGTGAAATTTTGAGGATTATCTAGTGTCGATCAATTGATATTCCTTAGATTAATTTGGAAATCTAATCCACTGTTATTCTAAGATTTTTTTTTTTTTGGGCTATGCAATTCAAAGGTTCAGTTCTTATTACTACGAAGAAGTAGGCATGCAAGACATACCAAGGGTTAAATTCTAAGATTAAACAATAGATTCTAATATCATAAAATGTTACTATCAATCGAATAATAATAGCAGATTAAGTCCAATTATTCGTCAAATATTATCTTGATTGGTCTGTTGTTTAGAGAGAGAGATAGAGTAGTGCAAAATGTTTTCGGTGATAGCTCCTTAAGTCACATACAAAGATTCAGACCTTGCATCAAAATCATTTGAAAAAATTGAAGAGAAAACTTAAAATCAGTGTGGATTTATTAATCATGGTTTATAAGGTAATAAGGTACCAATTATCTAGTTGTAAGGTCGAGATATGTGGACATGCTTTAGAAGGTATGAAAATAGCTGGATAGACACTTTAATCGGTCTCAAAAAAGTTTAATCAGGTGTTTGTCTGTGGGCATCTCACTCTTTTTTTTGAACTGTGGGCATCTCATAAAAAACACTGAAATTTTCCAACTAATCAGTGACTACAAACTCAATATTTTATGAAACACATTTAGGGAAGAGAATTTGGCAAGATTTGGGAAGAATAAAATTATGTAGATGAAAAAATGCAACTTGAAGTTTTTGAGAAAGACTATACTAGAGGATAACACACCAAATAGTTTTACTTACTTGAATGAATGTACATATGAACCCCTGAGATTCTAAGAATTATCCAGATTACTTAACCATTATTTAAAATATTACTTGATAACCAAAGCCATACCTTAATATTATCCCAAAGTCACATTTAACATATTAGAATTCTAAGCATGTACTGTTGCTTGCTTAGAAAATATTTTGACGTGTCGTTTGATGATAATTTTGAATATTTGTCCACTCATGTCCTAACTTTTTCATCCATTGACAAATAATTGCTTTGTTATTGGGTTAAATGCATAGTGGTGTCATGTATTACTTGCATATTCACATGGTCTTTTTAATTTTTGCTTTCATTGTTACAACCAATTAAGGGGACATGGAGCAAGCCAATGTTAAATAGGATTGGAGAGAATGGAAGGTCAGTGGACTTTTGGTGTTCCAACTGGCTTGGTACTAGTCTTTTGTTAAATAGGATTGGAGAGAATCCTTCATGCTTTCCAAGTCTATCTGAGGGTATGGAAAAGAAGGGAGTGGCAATGGTAGAAATTAGGAAGAGTCAGTTTTTCGTAGTGCAATGTTGGTGGGTTGGAAGATTCATTGAAATGCAGTGATGGTGGATTCGAATTTTCAGAGGATTGGAGTGGCTTTGGCTAGTAGGTGTTCGTTATGTTGTAATGATTTGGAAACTGTTACACACTTATTTGTACAGTGTCAGTTTTCTAATGAAGTACAGTAGCTGATTTTTGTGGTATTCAGATTTTTATGCCTGAAAAATTTGTTGAGAACAGTTTTATTGGTGGTGTTGTGACAATTTTGGCTGATTTTTTTCGCTAATTTGGCAGTAAAGACTGACTTTTCTTCGGACTTTTCTCATGAGTTGAGAATTCCTCTTCAAGCCAGATTACTCCAAATGCAGGATCAGCAAAGGATCAAGGTGTTAAGGATGAAATTTTTAATTCTTTGAGTGGTTGTAAATGATCCTTGTTTCCATTTTTTAGAGGCAAGTTTGTTTGTCTTTCCATTGTAACATTTTTTGTAATGAAATAAAATGTTGATTTGTTTGAAAAAAAAAATATATTATGCACTGTTTTATTAGTTAATGTATGTATTTACATATAATCATGTGGATATAGTTTATCAAGAATTAAAATAAATGTAAAATATGTTATATAAAATAAAATGATTATCAAACATATTTTTTGTTTTACTTTTAGATTTCGTCCAACAACAATTTTATTCAAACAAGTTTTTTTGTTTTAACTTTTAACCAAAAAAAAAATATTAATTTTATTTTTTATTTTTTTGAAAACATAAATACGATACGAAAATATTATCAGACGCATCCTAAGAAAAGCGAACCTTTATTCCGCCTATGTGGTCCAGCTAAATCAGCATTTCCCCTCATGAACCCGAGATGCATTTAAAACACCCCTTCCGAAATTGACAACGGTACCAAGACACACTGCACATAGCATCCATAAACCAAAAGCATAACCACGCCCAAAATGACCAAATTGACCCCTCACCAACGTAACGCGTAAGGAAGATTTATTGTATCTATTTGGATAAACTCAAAGCGTAAAAATTGCAGGGAAGCACAACTTAAATGGACTCCTGAAGGAAATATGACCGTTGGAGACCCTACAAAACCCAGGCGTTTTCAAAATCCAATAATGATTATTATAATCCAACAGAATTGAATTCCTCACCACATATACGGAATCAGATGCAATGGAAAAGTCTTGACAAAGCAAAAAGGGAAAAACCCATTCTCTGTCTCTCTACACGGCTCTCTCTCTTGAGTTCTCTCTTTCAGTTGGACATGGTGTATACCATCACCTGCTAGTAAGAACAGAACGAACAGAAGAGGTGGGTCTTGTTCATTCATGGCTAAAAGAAGTGCACATGATATGACAACGAAAGAGGATTTTCTGGAAGGGGACAAAGAAAAAAATGCTCATCCGTACTCATTTCATGTGTCTGGTCCAAGAAATGTTCCTTCTCCCAACTGGCGAGATATCATCAACTCTAATTGGTCAGTACCCATCATCTCATATATCTTTAGTGTCGTTTTGATCCTTCCGATGAAGCTAGATGAGTATGTGTTATGTGCGCGTGTGGTGAGTGTGTTTGTCGGATTCCTTGGCTTAATCACTAGTTGTTTACATTGTTTGTGACGCAATTTCTCTTGAGGGAACATATATAGGATTTTCTTTCAATGTTGGAACAGTTGAGATGACTTAGGTTTTGTTCATTTTGCCTTAAGCTTGAGAATTGATGATTACTGGACTTTAACAGGGGTTTTAAGGGGAACTGTGACACAATAGTTTGATAATTTTGTCTTAGATCTTCTGCTTCTGTTGCAGAATCAGGGGCTGTGCTGGTTGGCAACACAGAGAAGTGTTTTTAGTAAAATTTAATAAGTGGGTTTTTAGATACATTGATAATGGAGAAGACGGTCTCTAGTTCATCGATTTGTGAGGTATCTAATCTAAGTTCACGAGAAAATTAAGTATTTTGAGTGAACTTGTAAGAAACGGATCAACGAGCTCTATCTAGCAACTTATTTTCTGAAAGAGCACTGCACTATATCAGGAAAATATTTGACATGCTGACTTATTAAATATATCTGATGATATTGTCTTTCACATTACCTTTTGATACATATAATTTTTGGTGAGAGTTTGTGTGGGGTTGCTTCGCTTTGATGGCATATCTAGAATTTTTGAATTCGGAGTTCACTCATTGTTATTACTATTTTTTTGATTGATTTTAGGGATTTTTAGGGATTTGCGATATAATCAATCTCAGATACCTCCTGGTGTTTTTGAGAATTGCATGTGTTCCTCTTGGTTGTAATAAAGGAGTCAGTAATAATAACGAGTCATGAGAAATTGTGGGGAGGGGGCAATTCAAAATTTGTCTCTTGAGATAGCGATAGGCACTGGTAGGACTTTTGAACTGGAGGGGCCAATATATCTCTTGATGGCAGGACTCGTGGAGCCATACATAATATAAAGGCCAACTGTGCGGCATCTCTCTTGCCTGTGAAACTTTTGGATGCCATTTATAAGACAATGTCCAAATGTTCGTTGCATGTACTCGGGCAATCGGAGTAGGAATATTTTGAGGGCTTCTTGTCTAAGCTCCTAGGCAGAACCTTTGACCTTTTGATCTAATGATTCACCATGTTAATTGTGGTAAGCTATAAATAAGTTCACGATCCAAGGGAGTGTCGTATAACATGTGCAAACATTGGAGAATTAATGGAAACTACATTAAAAAAATCCTGCTAGAGTCTCTTGAGTTGGCGGCTAGGATACACGGTGGTGATATACCAAAGATATAGTTAAATCAAAACTTATCTCCCCGATATGTTAGTACCATTACTTGGGAAATATATGGGGCAAGCATTTGATATTCATCTCGGGTATGCTGACATCTCTCAAATTGAACTGAATTTGATTTCTCAGTCCGGAAAAGCAGTGAGTGGGGGAGCAGTAAATTTAACCGATAAAATGAAGGTAATTTAGTGTAGTGACAAAAATGTTGGAAATTGTCCAATTCTGATTCTTCTCCACCACAATCTTCAAAATTCTTCAATTCTGTCAGATCTCCCCAATGCTGATAAGCAAGAGTTAGGAACCCATCAACTGGGGGACCTCTGTTTTAGTGGTGGAAAGTCGAGGTCTAGGGAGGGTCTGGCTGAATTGAATGGAACGGTGTTTACCTGTTTGGTTATTGTATAAACCAAGAGATTATTGAATGGTGATTGAATTTGACAGCATAATCAGTGGACTTCTTCAATCATTTGGCATTACAGGAGGAAACAAATGTTGTTGAGTTACTTTTTAATTATTGCAAATTGGTCACTCTTAAAGGAAATTTTTTTAAGATAGAGCAGAGCCACTGAGGTATATTCCTGTGTTTGTTGGGTTGTAAGGTATATCCTCCAAATGGGAACAAGTGAAAAGAAATTAAAGTTTCAATATCCATCTGCTAACACTTTCATGTCTTTTGGGAACCTAGATGATGAAAGTAACTAGTGAATGTTGTTTGCTCTTTCTCTCCTCCTTTGCTTCTTTACCTACACTTAGCCGGTTTTTATTACTGTTTTTAGCTACATTGCAAATAAGAGGATGTGATTTAGACTGAAGGTTCTTCCCTTTTTTTTTCTTTTTTTCTTTTTTTTTTTGGCTATTGAAAGGTTCTTCCTTCATGTTGTTGTAGGATAGGTCTTTTTTGGAAGTTATTCAATGCAGAGGGTGAAAAAGAAGAAATTTAGATGTCCATCTAACATATCTTGGATCTCTTAATTCTAGTGCTTCTTATGCTTGTTCAGTTGTTCCTTTTTTACTATACCTGAATTACATTTCTTCAAGTGGCACAAGTCATTCTTGACACCTGCTTTTACCTTCTCATTCCAGTGGTTGTCGCTGAAAAGCTGATTGTGATAACAAACAGATTATTAAGGGAATTTCAAGCCTCATCTTTTTGTCATTATTCAAACAGAATACAACTGTTTTGTCTTCAAATGTATTCATTCATATTCTACTACTTTGGATTTTTGTAGCTCCTAGTATGTATGTATCATGTATGCATGTCATAACGAGCTTGTTTTTTAAGCATCCTCTGAACTTTACAGCATGAGCAGTTCGCATGTGAACCATAGAAATAGATATCTTTTCAAGTTTCTTTTTAACATATGATTTCCTGAGGTTCTAAAAACTGATTCTGCAATTGAATAATGTTTACAGGAAGGATGGGAATTACAGAAGAACAGTTGTTGCTTGCTTCATACAAGCAGTTTATTTGCTTGAACTAGACAGACAAGAAAACAGGACATCAGAAAATGCTCTTGCTCCAAAATGGTGGATACCCTTCAAGTACAAGCTGGCCCAAACCCTGATTGATGAGAGAGATGGATCAGTATTTGGTGCAATTCTGGAATGGGATCGATCTGCTGCTTTGTCAGACTTCATACTCATTAGACCCAGTGGTGCACCAAGAGCAGTTTTAACACTCAGAGGAACACTTCTCAAAAGCCCAACAATTAGACGTGACATAGAGGATGATCTCCGGTTTCTAGCTTGGGAAAGCTTAAAGGGTTCTGTCAGATTTAATGGAGCTTTGGAGGCGTTGAAGTCAATTGCCAACAGGTATGGAAGCAGCAATGTATGTGTTGCAGGCCATTCTCTAGGGGCTGGGTTTGCCCTCCAAGTGGGAAAAGCATTAGCCAAACAGGGAATATTTGTAGAGACTCATTTGTTTAATCCACCTTCTGTATCTTTAGCGATGAGTATAAAGAATATTGGGGAAAAAGCTGGATTCGTTTGGAAGAGGTTCAAATCAATGCTTCCTTCTTCTAGTGAAACTCAGGCCAGCAATGATGAGGTTACAGAAACAGGTGGTTTAGGACTAAAGAAATGGGTACCTCATCTATATGTGAACAACAGTGACTATATTTGTTGCTATTACACTGATCCGGCTGGAGCAGGAGATAACCATGACAAGGAGAATTTGTGTCCATCAAATGAGCAAGTTGCCGCAAAACTTTTTGTGTTGTCAAAGGGAAAGCAGAAGTTTCTTGAGGCACATGGATTGGAGCAGTGGTGGTCTGATGATTTGGAACTTCAAATGGCTCTGCATAACAGCAAGCTCATAAGCAAACAGCTGAAATCCTTATATAGCATCCCACCTCCTCAACAAACTCAAAGCAAGCCTCAATAATAAAAGGTAGCCGCTTTCAATGTTTGGCAAAAAACTCATTTTCAATCTGGAATCTTCTATACTATTTTATTTTTTCCCCAGCTGTTTGAATGAATAGTTTGATTCATATGCAATAATTGCTTCCCCCTCTTTTGGTTGTTATCCCGAAATTTAACTTCTCTAAACTTGCAAATGTTTATTGTCTTATGTGGTTTCTCTATACAGATTAAGCTCTTCTTCTAGCTGCGCTCAATTTACATTTGAAGTTCAAGTTTTGAAGATCCCGTTTTAGTTTCATGAACTATATTCTAATTGGCATTACTTGCTTTACAACAACTCCATCACGGTTTCAACTTCTTCGGCCATCACTGTTTCAACTTATAGAAACAAAACAGTACATCACGTACTGTTGACTTCAAAGACGTTGTAGGGAGACAAGCATGCCTGTTAGGGTTAAAGAGCATGCGGGTCAGTTAACGACAATGATAGATGCCTGGCAACGAACGAACCAGACACTAGCAATTGTGTTAGAGAGTACAAATTTATCTTCTTTAGTTCATTTGTCTCTTGAGTTCTTTATGAATGCCAAAATGGGATTGACTTTATGAGTAACATCAGCTAATGTATTGACTTGCTTTGGTCTAACGATGAAATGGGCAGAATGATTTTACTAACACAAAATTAAGGATTAAATTAAAACAATTAAAAATTCATAAACCATTTTAAGACGTAATGCAAAGTTTGAAGACTAATTATGATATTTATATTATTTTGTTGATAGAATTGTAAAACACTTGAATGCCTTGTTCTTGAGAGAACAGCTACATTATCCCAAGGTTTTTTAGGTTAATGTTTTTTGAGAAAAATTATACTAGGCGTTAATACAAAATTAAAAAAAAATTATAACTCAACCTAGTGATGTTACTCATAATTTAGGTTAGAGGTGTTCATCCTACCTTAGAGGTATAAATTATGATATTCTATCTTTTTATCCGATATTTTGCAGAAGAGATTTTTTTTAACCCACTCTACCCAATCAAGTATACTGTTTCTACTCGAATTCTAACCAAATTAATCTCAGGTGAATATAATATTTTTTAATTATTAATTTTTAAATCATTTTAACAATCCAATTAAGTAACATACACCAATTAATCAACACATTAATAGTGTTTCTAGTTTGTGGTTTCTGCACGCATTAACAGTATTAAAATGTTAAAAATTTCACACACACCACACACATGCATGCGAATAGGAGTAGAGTAAAAAAATGAAATTTTTATAAGTATTCCGCATTTTTATCCAATTTTTTTGAAATATCAAAATTTCTTCCGTTGGCCTATCCGATTTTTTGTGATAACCAATCAATGTGATAAACTAGAGTCAAAATATTCAGATAATCAGAAATTTAAGCACACTAATTTAGGTCAAATAATTGCACACTAATTTAGGTCAAATAATTGCACACTAAAAAAGCACACTAAAAAAGTTTAAACAATCTTAAATTGTCAAAGATCAATTCTATATTTTCTAATCAATCCTAACATTTTAAAATGATTCCCATCATATAGTTATTAAATATTAACCTAACCCTTATTTTAATTGGACACAATACCCAGCAAGCAGTATCCCATCTTTCCCTGATCTGGTGTATCTACTCTAGGCACAATCGAGCCCTTTCAGTCGACCATCTAATATCCCTACAATGGCTGCCCCCCGTCCATTCAGATCAACCAACGTTACGTACAAACCTTACCCATGAGCATTGCAAAAGAATAGACCGGACACAATCGATAAAACAAAGTGCAGACTGTCACCCATGTTCAATAACATCATTAAAATATGACCTTACATCAACCATGGCATATTTTTGAGATACAATGTTTTGCTGAAATTGCATGAGCAGACCTAACCTACAATATACATAACCCTTAAATGCTATGCAGCTAACCTATAAACAATGGGAGTACATTACCAACAATATTGTAATGCATCATCAATCTACATTGTGCTCGACAGTTCTACAGAGCACAACAGAAAAGCTGGTCCTCACCTTTCTGCTGAGAGCAACTACAAGAAATACTCCGGTCCTCTATTAATAAGAGAATCTGATTCCATTGGTGGAATAATCCTTTTCCGCGTGAGTGTCTCTATAGCTGGGCACTTCCTTTTCCGGCCACCCCTTGGCCTCGACCGAAAAAGCACATCAGACTCCTCAAAATCTCCCTGACCCAAAGCAATCACATAATCAAGCATCAGTTTATGTTCCCACAATCTTTGGGAAAAAGAATTCAATACAAATGGCTTACTGCCTGATGCAATAGCATTAAAATTGTAGATAAATTTGAGGAAAACCTTACATGAGTATAAACATGGCACCCAGATTTCTCATGGTTATCTCTCACGTGTTTGAATGGGAATTTCAAGCCACACCCAGGAATGCTACAGGCAAATGGTTTTAGTTCAAAGTGCACAGCTTTCACATGCTGATTGAGATTGATCTCTGCAAAATGATAAAAAAGTGAAAGAGATATCAGCACTGTAGCAAAACTCAATAACCAAGAATATTTTAGTTACTTTGTCTCTATTGTATGATCCATATACCAATTTAGGCTTTGTCAACAGCTTCTTAGCAGAGTAATACAACATTTTGAGAAACTTTCTTTACATGATTGAATACATTTTGTCATGCTACCCATTTATCAGTAAGATAGATAACAGAGACCATTCTTGAAAGGGTGAGAGACTCTTACAGTAGAAAATGTGTGCAAGCAACCCTTGAAGCTACATTTTATTCTCTTTGATGAACCCTGTGCTTCATGCTTACGCAGATGCCGCTTAATGTTCTTTTTCAATTGCTTGGTCCCGCATATCTCACAGGTAATATGCTGATGGCTAGACTGCAGATGTGCCTTGAGGCATTGTTCATTTGTGAAATATTTCATACAGCCTGGTTCAGAACAAAAGGTCTCCACTGCATCCAATTTAACTGCAATGGCAAGGAGTTTTATCAAAGGTATCCAAATGGAAACTGCTTTTCTGACTAAACTGTAGGTACATCTAAACAATTAAAAGTATCAATCTTTAAAGTTTACAATATAATAGGATTCAAAAATGCAGAAAAGCAACCCACCATGAGAATCTTCGTGTTTCCTCAATTTGGATAAATATTTGAACACCTTTCCGCACCCAATTTCTGGGCAGACATACTGCTTCCGAGCTTCCTCCACATCACTGGACACAGATTCCTCACTGTGAAATTCCTTCTCATGCCTCTTCATATTACCTTGGAAAGCAAATCTTCGATTACAGTTCTGAATAGGACATTTAAAAAGCTTCCCTTGGTGTTGAAGAAGGTGACGAGTCAGGTGGTCCTTCCTTCGGTAGCTGGAATGACAGTCATCTACTGGACAAGTAAATGGCCTCTGTGGCAGATAAATAAATACAAAATAAGCTTTCAAAATTTTCACTTCGTTGAATACTAGAACTTATTTTCAATACGCTAATGCAAAAATCTTCAAACCTCAACATAAAAACAAAGCGTGACTGAGGCTCACTTGATGGAGCTTCTCAGGAGGTCCCCCTTCCTGGTACTAATCCAATCAAGGTAGATATTGCTGCCTCTCGCATTACGGAGTTCTTTGTGTGGGATCCAATGCTTCACACTAAATCCATGGTTCATTTCACATGATTACTCAAACAATCAAATTAACTTTACAACCTGCACCAGCATTTAGGATCAATTCATGCATGTACAGATAAAACATGAGATCGGCCCTGTATTAGGAACATAATAATAAAGATGCAAGCACCACAACGCAGAAGTATGCATATTGCTCATAGATGCATTACAAGGTCATACAAGCATGAAAAACTGTGTGCACATTATCAATAATAGACTATTCCAGGGCTAAAAAACATCCTAATTATGAATGAAAATTTTTAAACACCAACACTTCATTTTGGGGCACAACTTTTTGGGGTTCAAACCACGCATATTTTGGTGAACAAAGATCAGGGGCTTTGAAATGCTAGCTTGTCAAAATAAACATGACCACCTTGGAGCACTAAGAAAAATAACCAGCATATGCTTCTTTCAAAATTAAGAAAACTAAAACCTCCTTGTCAAAGTCTTGTTACAAGTTGCATTGCTAAAGTATAACACATACTAAGACTTCTAAACCACCAGCAGAACTGATTGCCACTGTTCAAGAACATAAGTGATATCATAACATGTAGACATAAATTAAATATACATACCTATTTATACAAAGGCATGTTAAACATGATCACCATAACTGTAAATATACAAGAATCATCTCAAGACTATTATATACTCATAGTCAAAGATTTCTTCAATGGTTAAGAAGCAACATTAAACCCCTCCAAAAACAAAAAAAACAAAGAAACCAGACCCATTTATCAAAAGACACTAAAACATTTGTTTTGCTGAAAATGAGAACAAGAACTTAATCAACAGTATTATAGTCAAACAAGCTAAAATAGAAATTTTAACACACATAAGTCTTTAAACAAGATAAAATAGAAATTTTGACACACCTCTAGTGAATGACTTTGCATATGCTGCTTCAAATGAGCAGGCTTTTGGAAACTTGCACCACATTCTCCACAAGTATTCAATTTCTTCCCCTCCTTTTCCGCATCTCCTTCAGCCAATTGCCCATTTATTGCGTCCTAATTAGCATTCCGAAAGAAAAAACAAGATTAATAGTTAACACAACATAAAAACTACGTTTCTTATTTTAGCCCACCAAATAACTTAACATTCATCAGTATCAAATTCCAGTAAAAAGTAGGTTTTGGAATTCAAAAGTCAAATACTTGCAACTTATAAGAATCAGTCATCTCCATTTTTTAATAAAGATCAACTCTTAGAAATCAGCATAAAGTTGATTAAAATTTGAAACATATAGCATTGTCAGCCTTCAAAAACCTAACCTGGCTGTTCTACATATTTAGTGCTTAATGATTTCTAGCTATCAGCAAGGACTACTGACTGCCAACAGTAAGAAAGCTACCATCAAAAAAATTCTAAGCTTTTTATAACAATAAAATCAATTACCATTTGGATGTTTGAAGTTGAACAAACACTGTTGTAAGAGCTGCCATCTCGCTGTGCATAACAATATTATACGCAGTAATGAAGTGATGATGTCCAAAAACAAATAAAAACTGAAAAATAGTTGTTTATTGTTTTGGATGTTAGATGGAAGATCTTGTCTGTCTGCTTTTGTTTCATTTGTTCTCCTTCACTTCCAATAACCTTTGCTTCATGTGAGTTTGCTAAAACAGTCTTAAGGCCAATTATGATGCACAGTGGGTAACAACTACTTTTTAGGTTCTCGAAAAACAAGTTTTTTATAATTAGTATCAAGCACCGAGTGTGGTGGTCTTGGAACCACTTAAGCTACACTGTAGTGCTGTGTTTACACACACACTTGAGTTATCACACTTAGGCAATCAATTAGCCTCTCGGTAACAAATCAGTCCACCAAACATGACAAGTTAACTAGTTCTTCACACATAGCACAGAGAGATCAGTTCTGTTGCTTCTAAATTGTCTCACCGAGTCTCATCTTCTCATCTTCTGCTCTTCTAGAACATACTATTGCACTCAAGGGCATGATCAACTAAAATTAAAGACTATAAAAGCAGCAAAAAGGGGCAAGATTTAGGCTTTACCATGGACAGAATAATAGAACCCCATGTATCAATTGATTGAGAAAATTCAGAGATGAATGGAAACCTAACCAACCTGGTGGAGTGAGAGGATGTGAGATGTGAGGACAGACTTCTTGGACCGACAGAGGCCACAGTACTGGCAGTAATATCTCCTTATGTCTCTGAATATTGGTTGATGTTCTCTCACTACACCTCCACATCCTTCTTCCATTTCTAGAAAGAGAGAGCAGAGCACAGTTATTAAACCCAGCCAGGACACCAACTCGAAAACAAAAGAAAAACACAGGGCCAGTTTGGAATAAAAAATAAAAATCAATTACAAATAATATTTATGCCAAAAATTCATTAAAAAAAGGATGCTTAATGATAACCGTATCTGATAAAAAACGACAGTTGAACCCAAAAAAATCATATATTGCTAAAGAAATCAACAAATTAAAACCCACTACTGTATACCAAAAACACAGTCACCACAACACAACCAACAAATTTGTATCAAAGGAACAAACACAAGCTACCACAGTATGTGCTTACACATTGCACCAGACATGAGTCCCAAAACTAATACAGATGTAAGAATCGCAGCCTAGAATAACTTGGATTGAAATTCAAAGTGGACCTCAGTAATTTTTCTTTTCAAAGCTAAATTAGTACTGCAATCAACGTCTTCGTGTCACTAAAAAAATTAAGTAAATCATATTGTAGGCTATTGAGCTATCAGAAATGTAGACGTGAGTAAGATATAGGTTTACAATTTGAATTTATTTATGTTATTCTAACAAAAGCTCTGGTATAATGTCTAAATAAAAATAAATAATTTACCCCTAACAACAGGGGTGTTGGGAGTCATGAGTCTAATGTTTGAACATTCAGACTTGGCCCAACACAATACGACCATTTTCTTAGTCGCTTATGTTGTTAATGCACAAAACCCATGATGAGTGTATATCTGTGAGAGAGATGCGAGAAGTTACCTAGTTGGACGATGGATGACGCAGGTTTGCAGTAGTGACGCGAGATCGCAACAGCAGCTTGAGACACAGAAAAGACGGGCGTGCAACCGGGGACTGAAGATGAGAGAGAGAGAGGCTGAAGCGGCCGAGAGGAAGAAGAGGGGGAGGGAGAAAAGACAGGTTGTGTTGGAAGCCTAGGGTTTCATTTTATACATTGCTAGGGTTTACTTCACCTGTGCCGCAGCCACTGTCTCAGTGGTGGAACTTCCAGTTGCATAATGCCATGTCATGGTCATCGTTAATATCATTTAACCTTTTTTTAATCATGCATTTTTGCATAAGCATGACCCAAAGCTCCTTAAACACGGCATTACACGTGAATTTTTTTTTAAATATTTGGTAGAATAAATAAAAAAATTTAATAATGTAGAAAAATTAGATATTATCTAATATTTATTGTATTTAAATTATTTTTAGAAAAAATTTCATCAACACCCCCTATAATTAACCATATCTTCGGAGACACCCCTGTAAATTCTAAAACTTCATTGTCACCCCCTTCTTGTTTGTATTGTCTCTTCACTTACACCCCCTATACTTAGCAGTCTGTTTCTATACTACAAAAAGTGCATGACATGACTGAATTTTTTATAAAATTCCAAAATTACCTTTTTATGTATAAATAGACTATGTCATCATTTACACAACTTATTTATAACATTGGAAACCCAATTTGATCAGTTGATAGATTGAGTGGAAACGTCCAAAAGTGTTGTAGAAGTTCATCACTAGAGTTATTAAATTTATCAAAATATTGAACTTATGATTATTCTGTATGATTAATGTTGAATTCATCATAATTTGTTAGACTATTTTAATTAACTGTACATCAACTTGAAGTCATTCATAATATATTGATCATCAAATGTAATTAGCATTGTGTCACTTTACACTTGAGTTTTACAAAAATTATATCCCTGGGATCATAGTCAAACTACACAAAAAATTACACAAAAAAGCTCAGCAACAGTCAAGTCACTTTACACCTGAGCATTAACAAAATTATATCCCTAGGATCATAATCAAACTATACAAAAATTACACAAAAATGCGCGGTTAGCAGTCAAAATACACAAACGAGTTAGCAGCTTATGCTTCCCCACAACCTTGGACAAGCCCAGTTTGTTCCCTTCTAGTGGTTGCCTACAACCCAAGGAACATTACTTAGTACTTAATTACAATAAACTAGAAATTATAATCATAATCACCATAATGTTATTGACTAAAAATTATACCTACTCATCACAAATTCTGAGTTATGGTGGTTCCTTGAGATGCTGATTGTTGAGCCATTTCACCATCAACTTGTCCTTTAACCTTCAAACCCTTGACGGGTGCCCATGACCTTCTATTATGCCCAAACTCTTTGCATATGCTGCATTTCACACTTAGAGGCACCTTCTAGCAGCACTAGTCCCACCTACAGGTTCATTTGCCTCGTTATGCCTATTTATTTTGGGTCTACCTGGTAATCTCATAAGAGGGGGAGGGGCTAAAGGATCACCAATAGTTGGTGGCCATTTCCTTTGGTCTTGAAGCGGGTGAATCATTAGTTCATGAGCCTTAAGAAAAGCATCTGTCTTGAAGAAGTTGATGAGACTCTTCTGAAATGCCCTATGATGAAGACACGTGTTCTCGGTTTGCTAGAACAGTGTTGCTTGGATTTAAGCACCATCGGCGAACGAATGTCCTCGCCCCCGAGGTACTCTCATATAGGATCATGCATTCAGTGTATTATACAACCAACACGTGTCCTCGGTCGCATACCTCCCTCGGTCCCCGAGATGAGCCTTTCCTCGGTGCCGAGAGTTACTCCGTCCTGGACGCTTCCTCTACTCCAGGATAAGCTATTGACGTATAGGTCACTAGCCTAGGTTTGTCTAGGCTGCTCATCATGACCTCGTCTTACACACGTAATGTCAAAACATACTGGAAATACAGAGGTCACAGCCAATAAGGGATGGACGCGTGGTAAATGATGTCACGTCAAAGACAGACAAACTGCACGCTGTTACTGACACGCGGCTTGGGAAAGCAAACAATTAATTGCACCCTTCTGTTGATGAGACCGCATTCAATGCGGTAAGGCTCGGAAGTGAAAGGCAATAAATGCTCCTATTACAGAGCATTTATTGCATCCTCCCCGAGAGGAGCATATTGTACCGTCGGCATCCCGACGACTCGGCATTAATTGCTCGGGACCCCGAGCAGTCAATTAAAGAAGACATTCCTCATCAGAATCAATGCACACGCAACCTGCACCTAATGATCACCTACTGACCACACTGACAGCAATCATGAGCCTTTAAGGTATAAATACTCCTTGCAAAAGGCAAGACGGGTATGCAATCATAAACTCTCTACTACAATACATTTTTCTCAGTGTTTTCTCCTTCCTCTCTCTCACTCAAAGACTGACTAGACCGTCGGAGGGGATACACCGGAAAACACTCCGGCGCCCTTCTAACTTGTTCTTCTTTGTTCCAGGATCCTCTTTCAGCCTTACTGGATCGTTCTCCCTCTCACCCAGGGTCTCCCGTTGCCGTCCCAGGTTACCACCGGACCTCGCAGGCTGTCCCAAGCGGCGTGGTTGGTCACTCAACCGGCTCACTCGAAGTTCACCAGGGGAGAGATCTGTTCTCGTTTTTTATATTGTGCAGGATCTTGCACGCACAATCTGGCGCCGTTTGTGGGAAACGACTAGTTTTCCTAGTTTTGTCTCTATAAAGAACAGTGACCATGGTGAACACTAGACAGAAAGGGAAGGGAACCCACCAAAGGAGTCTCGAGTTACAAGCTCCCTGCCATCACGGAGGGAGGGATCGCACCAATACGAATAAAAGTGCCTCTACTCGGTCAAGGGGGTAACCCCTCAAACCAGTATGGGGATCAGGTCAGGAGGATCAGCCCCCTTGGCCCGTCAGCTAGCAGAAGTGATTGAAGAAAAATTTGGCGATAGATTACGTCAGCTGGAAAAGGACAATGTAAACGTCCTTAGCCGGCTCGATGAGTTTGCCGCCTCAGGCGGAGGGTCGAGGGATTCATTCCTTTCCCGAGGACTCCCCGTCCAGGAGGCGGAGACAAAGGATCTAAGAAACCACCTAGACCACAAAGCAGAAAGCTCCAGGGCCCCGAAGCGACCCAAGGCCGGCGAACATCATCTTGACAACCATTCCAGGAAAGCGAGGCCATTGGCCCTGGACGACCTCCGGCGAGGTTTGTCCAGACGGAGGAAGGGAGATGAATCCGAGGAGGACTCAACCCAATCTACACGACGCCCGGGAAACGAGGGGCTTACCAATGAACTCAGGGACTTCAGAAGGCATCCCGTCAGGGAAAAGTCGATCTCAGAGCCCGATTAGACTCCAGAAGAAAGGGTAAGACTGTCCAGGATGAGGCCGAGGACGAAGACATACAAACACCCTTCACAAGGGAAATCAGTGAGATGGAGGTCTCAAGAAAGTTCGTCGTGCCACGGTTCAAAACCTATGATGGGCGGTCCGACCCCGAAGCCCATATCAGACAATACAACAGATGATGTCCCTCTATCATTCGGACCAACGGTTTCTCTGCCGAGTGTTCCCTATGAGCTTGGGGGACTCTGCGATGAAATGGTTCGAGACGCTTCACCCAAACAGTATTGGGTCCTGGAAGGAATTGACTAGGCAGTTCCTGGCTCGATTTATTACGGGGAGTAAGCGCCCCAAAGACATTGGATCGTTGTTGACCCTCAGACGGAGGGAATCCGAGACTCTTCGCCAGTACGCCATCCGGTACTGGGAGGAGGTCAATGAGGTAGAAGGCTGCTCGGAGGTCATGGCAGCAGCATCTTTCCGGCTCGGCTTGGCGAGGGACACGGACCTGTACCGATCCCTGACCAAGAAGACTCCCTCGGATATGGGGGAACTGATGGCTCGGATCAACAAGTACTCGAGGGTCGAGGACGAGATGGGAAGCAACAAAGGCCGAGCCCTCCAGTCTAAGAGAAAGGAGAAAGAGCGCGAAGATATTCCCCGAAAGGGATTGCTACCCCATCCAGGGGGTTCGTCCAGAGGAGTTCACACTGTTTTCAAGGAACCCATCTTCAAGTTGCTCCATAAAATCAAGCACGAGCCGTTCTTCAAATGGCCGCCCAGGATGCAGAGCGACCCCTCCACCCGAGATCAAAGGGTTAGGTGTTCCTATCACCGGGATGTTGGGCATCGCACCGAAAGCTGCAGGGTGTTCAAATCGTTCTTGGAAAGCTTGGTCCGAGACGGACATTTGAAAGAATACATAGAGCCCAGGCCAGAGGAGAGGCGGCCCATGCCCCGACCGAGGAGCCGAACAACGTCATAGATGTCATCCATGTATGTCCCCTGGAGCGCCCCACGTCCAAGGAGCTTGAGTCCGACCTCAAGAGGGTAGCTTTTACAAGGAAGGTAGCCGAGGGTGACGTAGGGCCATCGAGTAAAAGGGCCAGGATGGGAGAGCTTGGCATTACGTTCTCCGACGCGGATTTGGCAGGCGTGGTGATCCCTCATAACGACGCCCTTGTCTTAACCCTGAAGATTGGGAAATTCGATGTCAAGAGGATTTTGATAGACTCAGGAAGCTCCTCGGAGGTGATGTACTTCGAAACTCTGAAACGGATGGGTCTTGGCCCCAAAGACCTCACCAAGGTCAGGACACCCCTTATCGGGTTCAACGGATCATTCGCCTTGCCCGTTGCCACTGGTCCCTTTATCATCGACACCGAGTTTGTGGTGATCGATACGGACTCTCCTTACAACGTGATTATGGGGCGAACATGGCTGCACGCGTTGGGAGCGGTGCACTCCACTCTCCACCAGAAGTTAAAGTTCGCCACGCCAGAAGGTATCATGGAGATCCGGGGGGACCAAGCGTCTGCGAAGAACTGTTTTTATTCGGCCGTCCGAGCCGGGGCGTCCAGCCAGGAGAAGGGACGAGCCCCGGAAGAGATTATGAAAAAATAGCAATTACAGTCCGGGCGTCCAGGAATGGATGACCCCCGGATAGACCCGACTGAACGGTCGGTTGAAGACCTCCGGAAGGTGCCCTTGGTAGAGGGAGAAGAAGAGAGGTATTTCTTAGTGGGGACCTCGATGCCTACAGCCGAACAGGAGGAGATGATCGAGTTCCTAAGGGGAAATACAGACATATTCGCCTGGAACGAAATGGAAATGACGGGGGTAGACCCCGAGATAATCACTCACAGGCTGCATGTTGACCCGTCGCACAAGCCAGTCAAGCAGAGGCCACGACGCATGGCCCCACATCACACCAACGCGGTCAACGAGAAATCGACAAACTCCTGAAGGCTGACGCCATTCGAGAGATACAGTTCCCTGAATGGCTGTCCAATACGGTATGCGCAAAGAAGAAAGGGGGGAAATGGCGTGTCTGCGTAGATTTTACAGATCTAAACAAGGCGTGTCCCAAGGATGACTACCCCCTGCCAAAGGTGGACCAGCTGGTAGATGCCACAGCCGGATATGAACGAATGGACTTCCTGGATGCCCGAGCAGGATATCATCAGATCCCC